TAAATAATAGTGTGTGTGTGTGTGTGTGTGTGTGTGTGTGTGTGTGTGTGTGTGTGTGTGTGTGTGTGTGTGTGTGTGTGTGTGTTATAATTATTTATTCTTATTTTTTATATTGCTCATAAATTGCCATTTAGTAATATAATTTTACTTTTATGTTATCATGAAATTATTTCCCCGTCAATATAAATAAGTAAAATATGAGAATACATAATTATAGAAAGAAAAAAATTTAAATTTACCGTAATGATAATTACGTATGAACACATGTTTGTAACATATTGAAATCTCTTGACATAGCACATGGCTTACGCGAGCATTGAAATCTCCTTGGCGATATATCATTATTCAAACCTAATACACTTTTCCTATAATTTTTTATTACATATCTCTGTAGGATAAAATTGTGATAAAATAATTGTATCTTATATTCAACACTTCTTTTCGTGCTTTTCAAGATAGGAAAGATATATTATGTAAATTATCGTTTTGTTTAACGGTGCGTGTTTAGCTACGAATGTGCGGTGGTCTTCACAAAGAGAGCACGGATTACATTTAAAACGTAAAGCACCGTAAACCGTGGGAATACGTAAAGTCGGCGTGGGGAATTCGTCAGGGCGGCGTGTAAGCCGAATGTACACTTGCGACGCGACGTGAGAGAGGACTCGGACGAACGGGAAGAACGAAGATGAGGAACGGCGGTACCTCGAGATCTCGGATTGTCAGTTGGTGGTCAGCCGTCACGTAGGGAGGACGTGGTAGTGTCCCGCTTCTTACCTTGCCTCGCCGCGTTTTACCTCACCGCGCTTCACCTCTTCTCGCTTCGGATCGTCTCGTCTCGGTCACGGAAGAAGCATCGTCTCTACGGTGACGCTTCGTATACGACGTCCTTGCGCACCACGAGAAATGAATAAACACGATGTAACTCATATTGGACTGGCTGTCGATGGTGCGGCTCAATAATCCGTCCATCTGACCAGAATAAAACAATATCGTGTTTTTTCAAGAGTTAATAACAATAACATTCCATAATGAACCGTCTTAGTGCACTGACCAGACAATAGCAGCCGGTATACAAAGAATCAACCAAGCAGAGCAAGTATTTTTCAATTTACAAAATATATTTCAAATTATTTTACATATTTGCATAACAATATTTTTCAAATATCAGACGTTGTATTCCTTTGCAACTTTAAGGAATGCGATTGCTTCATTTCGTCCACAAATTTGCTCGTGTTCGGTAACGTCGATCACTGTCTAATGGTGATTGCAAAGGAGCATTTTAAATGAAAACGTCTTAACATCAGATTTTACTGGTGAATATAGTTAATAAAATCATAGCAGCATCTTCTCTTTACAATGAGAATGCGAAGAATGCTTTGATCTTCATACAATTATTATATCATCAGGAAATGATATAAAAGTCTGACTCTCACAAGAATCAACCTATATCACGAATAACTCGATCTAAATTAAAAATTCAAGACTTCAGAAAATGACTTCCATGTGTGGCAGCGGAAAAAGTCACGCCGTGATGAATGCCAGCGGTTATTATAGGCCTAGCCCTTACACCTATCAAGTAAGTTTCTTGTATTCTTCTAATAAAGGAATGTAACAAGACAAAGCCATTTAATTTAGCATCTGACGCGTTGACAAATCAGATATAACTAATCTATTTATATTCAAAATGAATATATTTGTTTATTATACAAAATCTTTTTTAGCGTAATAAATATTGTCATACATATAATAAGAATAATTATTCAACTATTCAATTGAGAATGACAGAATGAAGAAAAAACATTTACGCGTATTATCAAATCATGTTTCTTCACTGCAAAATATTTTATAAATTAAATTTTCCTGATAAAATTGAAATGTTTCTGTTTCTTTGATTAAAAATTATTTTTAGTTGTATCGAAGAAAAAGAAAAAAATTCTAATTGTTATAATTGGATATGAATAAATATTGCAACTTGATAAGATGTTATTATTATTATTATTATTATTATTATTATATTATATTATATTATATATTATTATTACAATGTAATTTTTAAAATATTCAATTAATTAATAAAAATTGAATTAGTAAACATTATCAATATTTGATCATATCTATTTATTAGAATCTATCTATCTATCAGAAGCACATATAAATGCAAAAATGAATGCAATTAACTTAAATGGAGATTCCTACAAGATGAATCTTTATTTTAGAAATCTAAACATAGATCCTATATCTAATGTACATTATTAAAAAATCCATATTTAGATTTCTTGAAACTCGATAATCTACTTTTTGGACCAGACACGTTATTTTCTTTATATTATTTTACGAATTAAAATGTTTGCGAATAAAATACAAAATAAAATAATTATATAGGGTGATTAAAATTTTTATACAACTTTAAACGTTTATAATTTCCATTATATGATAAAATTCCTTTATAAAAAATATTAGAATTAATTAGAATTAATTAGAATTAATCTTTAATTAAGTTTAATATGCATTAAAAATGAGCTATTTATGAAAAATTTCCTAACAAATGGATTGTAAAAGATGGATCGATCTTTTGTTACGTTCATCAAATTTAAGTCTTGGATTTTTTTTATGCGTATATCATAATTATTATTTATTTAAAAAATAATAAAAATAATGATAGACTATTATTTAAAAAGTAAGTTAAGATGTATATAATAAGAATTATAAAAGGTTGAAACGACATAGGGATAATGTAATCACCCTGTATATATGACCTTACATCGCGGAAACCTTCACCTTGTCTGATATAAAAGCGTTATATAAGTTTATAAGAATATCATGGGAAGGTGAAGCGGCATTCTTTCTGGTTTTTTTTTTAATTTTCCTTGTTCTCTTGTTCCCTCTTTCAGACGAGAGAGAGAAAGAGAGAGAGAGAGAGAGAGAGAGAGAGAGAGTAACGTTTATTCTTTTTGTTTCTTTTTACGTTAATTTTGTTTTACTTTCCTTTTATTCTCCTACTTTAATTAATAGACTAAATTTTAAAGTCTTTTATTATTAACCGAAAAACATATACTAAATTACAAGAGACCTACTTATACACACACACACACACACACGCACGCACGCACTACATATATATATATATATATATATATATATATATATATATAATTCTGTATTTCAACTTTTAACGTATCTACGATCGTCCTAGCAAATGTGCGAATTCCAAATTTTCATGAGGCAAATATATTTTGTTTTTATTTAGTATTTGAAATATTTTTATGTAAAAGAGATTAAATAAAAAAATTCTTCAGATTTCTTTCAACATGCGAGCTACGTCGTTTATTTATCTTACAATGTTTTAAATTATTCGACACTCAGACGCTCTTTCCATTTTAATAAGTTTTTTCTCTCTGCGCCAAAATTCACATCTCACATCGGCGCGACGTCATTCATTTAATTGACTGTTTAAAACCCGATTATCGACACATGCAACCCGCCAATGGTACCGTTATCAAGTCAACGATTACGAGCGATAATTGCGACGATAGCGATGCATTTACTCAAATTATATTATGCGCGATAACCATCCCTGATGAGATGCACCCTCGCATAGTTTCAAGAAACTGAAGTCTGAACTCGAGCCGTGCAATAAATTCATCATCGAAAGAAGAAAAAAAAAGAAAACCCGATCTGATATATCAATATATACGTGTACACGTAACATTTGTTACGCTAACGATTTTGAATAATATTTGAATTGTTGATTATACTTGTTTAAATATTTGTTAAATCACTTCGGAACGTCGGTAGAATGATATAATTATGTTTCCTCGTTAATTTATCGCAAAGTGGCTATGACAGGGTGTAAGAATTATGTATTCGAGTATGCCTTTTTATTTATTTCCCAGTCGCTACAATAGCTGACAGGTTCAATGTACCTGAAATATGAATGTCGTATACAGAAAGTATTCTGTATTCACAAAAGAAAAGTAATTTAATAATAGCCTTTCTTGAGCATTGATAAATCAATCATAATCTGGATGGCTTAAGTCTTACAGTCACAATAACATTATGAGAGTATCTTTAACTGATTATCGAAGCTGAAGAATCAATTTTAATTTAACGTGTTGTTATATAATGCAGCTTCCTATGAGGATCTGTATAATAGATGACCTTGAAGACGGTGTAATATACGGAGAGCGACGATTTATCTATCATTTTTTATAATCGAATTATGTAAGCGAGAGTGCGATCACAGGTATGAAAACGTTTGCCGGCTGTATCAACGCTGAAATATCACGGAAATACTGCGGAAACGTAATCTGTAATCCTAGTGAATACTAGAAAATATCCATATAATGGGGCAAATTATAACTGTATTCTCAGTGCTCTTTCTATCTTGGGAACTTGTCTTGGCAATTTTAAACATGAGAACAGCATTGCCGGTAACATTTATAAAATACTAACGAGCGATTATAAAATAATCCAATGATATGTATCCACAAACGAACAAACGGAGGAAGTTCCCATATGCAATGTGTATTTCTCTGCTTTGAATGTCATTACGAAAGTGCGAAGCTCACGAAGCTTCAACTTTTGATGTAGAAAAATTCTTGCGCGAAGGCTCTTCGCGGAAAATATTAAAAATATGACATGTAGCACAAGTCAACTTGTGTTTATCATAGGATTTACATTTGCATCATCGTAAGAGTACGTACCAAAGATATTTTTTCAGCTGATTTGCAGACGCTCGCTTCCCTCGCCGAGAATTTCATCGAATTTGAATATATACGTGCGTTACGTTAAATATTTTACTTTTACGCAACGTCCAAATATTTAAATAAGCGTGTAAATCATAATCAATTCCGACATCACTCGCGAATGAACACTCACACTTTGACGCGTCGTCTCGCATAGATAACGTAATGTGACTTTGCAAAGTCCGGCCCTGGATAAGCGTTACGATCAGTGCGTACGAGTTCCAAGTGTACACGTGTTCCTAGGGACCCTCATTAAACCAGACAAGGACGAGAAGTTGCGGGAGCGTCCTTGAAGGATCTTTGCACTCGGCAAAGTTGCTCGTACTCGCATCTTCTCGCATTTTCTTCGCGCTGCCTCCACGAAGGCCGCGCATTGACTCCGTCCAGGTCATGGTACGCATATTTACGGACATCTACATACACCGGCACCTTCCTCAAACTCCATCTACAAATCATCCGTGGTTAAATGTCTCGATAAACATTTCCAAATATTGGGCGTGGTTACGTGGTTTCCAAATATTAAAGCCTACGGAGAGACAATTTTCCAATTGCGTCTTCATCTTCTTCGTATTGTGATGTGTACAAGTCAGGCCGTGTGACAGGCTCGTTTTTGTTTTCCTTCACACTCCATTCTTCTTGAATTAACTTGATCCTCGATGACCGGATGATAGTTAGCCAGGCCAGGTGTCACTTCTGAAACGTTGTTATTTATAGTTGTGAAGCTTTCATAAGACGGCGGAGCTAACAGCCTTTTCAGGAACCGCATAGCTGTTACCACGCTTTGTGATCCACATAGTTGGATATGCTCGGCAACGCTACTTAAGTGCCGCCGAGGATTAGTCTTACGGCCTGCATCTCTGTCGAAGAAGATGAGAAAGACGATAAAAAAAAGGTGTCGATAAAAAAATAGGAGACACCAAAAAGACGTATCACAAAACGTAATTCGAGCTAACGATTTTCTTTATGATATTCGTGACATTCCGCTTTTGTTGTATATTTCAACAGTTAGAAGATTGTCGAAATGATTGTTGAAATATTATTCTTAAAAAATAAACAGTTATCTCGGAAAAAAAGTGAAGTGAAGTCTAAAATAATCGCAGTGTTTAATTACGATCTGTAATGTTTACAACATTTTTTAAATAGGTCTCAGGTTTATGACATTTTTTTCCGAAGGTATAAATAATCATCGATCTAATATTGGAATAGTAATAACGGAAAAAGTATAATTTTCAAACAAAATTGCATACCATTAATAAAATGACATTATGACATATCATTATATCCTAAGTTGTCTACATTCACTTCATGGATCATAACTTCGAACGATGCCTCGAAGGTATTAAATACATCTTTTTACTTGAACATTGTTTTTAAGGATATCGAAAATAAATAGCATGCAACGAAGGTACTATTATATTTTACAGCTATGGAAAATAAATAATATTAGCATCAAATGTAGAACAACCAATCCAGTGTTTATCCTTAATTAGTCGTGCGTCGTATACTACGTATTTAATTTAATGGTGATGAAACAAACATGAGTGCATGATGCATGATGCTGATACCGTTTTTTTTAAATAAAATATTAATAACTCTTTCAATTAAATATATTAAGTAAAATTAGCACTTGAATCAAATGCATCCAAAACACATTTCCTTATAGCGATTATACCGCTACCAAATATATAACGCACTAACGATCGCTCGACGTTGGGCTTCTTCATCTCCATAAACAATTGGAGCAACAACCTGGCGCGCGCACAACTGCGTGCAAAAGGAAAAAAATAAGAAGCAAAGGTCACGCGGTATTTTTCATGAAATCACGACAACCTATAAACCACTAACGGTTCATGCTCGCGCTTTGTATCTGGACATCGTATATTCGATATGGTCGATTTCATCAGTACATTCGAGATATTCAGCCTGTTAGAAGAAGACGCGAGGACGCAATAATAATAAAATCTATATCTCGCACCAATAATTGGAACAATAAACACAACCAAATAGAATTCTTAACATACTTGGAAATTCCAAGCCCAATATTTCCATAGACTCTATTTTCTGTTTTTAATAATAAAAAAAGATAGAAGACTATTTATTATTGCAAGCTAAAATAGTTTTTAGTGATTTTATTTTAACATACGTCACATGCTCTATTAAAAAAAAATACATTATCAATGAGAATAGCGGAATGTTTTTAAATACGAAGATTGCATAATGTAAGCCGCAATCTTTCTCCCATTAATTTGTGAAAATTTACATATGTATATTTTTTGAAAATATACATATTTTGTAGATTCCACAATTATATTAAAATATACAGCGCACTCAAGTGTAAGAGTTAAAGTAGGATAATCTGTGCGCTGTAAGATGTAAATTATGTATCATAATTTTTAATCCTTCTTAATTGGCATAATTTTTATATCATTATTTTTGTAAGGAAACCATGTTGAAATAAAATTATTTAAGATAATATTTTTATTTGTTCAAGACATCTCTTTATATAGATAATTCTGTGTTACTTTATCCTTAACAACTTCCTTTTATTTTTCATGAGCTAGCTATTAAAGATTTAATAATATTTACCGGAAACGTTACTGGAAACATCGGAAATATCATTTACAGGTGTTACAGGAGGTAGACCTAGACTTACTTTGAGTTTTAATATGGAAGCAGTCATGCTTGAAAATGCCGACAACACTTGCGAGTGTACATACCGCTAGTCGAAATATTATGAATTTTCTACGCGATCCTGTGCGGCAAGTCGAGCAGAGCCAAACGTTATCCGCATCTCAACACTTTGAAAATTTCTTCTTATCCACGCATTCCGTGCCGCCGGTGGTACCGTTAACGGGATTACTGTACACGCTCGTTTATATTTATCACGCATACATATTATTCAATGATAAGTCGTGTGCCATCTGACTCGCTTCACTCTATATATATATATATGTATCAAGTAAAAATTAAAAATTATCTCTTAAGATAAAATTAGAAAAGATGCTGTATGAAGTCATTAAGAAATGTAAGAAAATATTTTGTCTTGTTACTGCGATATTAACAAATTGGAAATTTTTTAAATTTTACATTTTGAAATTATATTTCACATTCCAAAATTTAAAAACATTCAATCAAAGAGATGATTATTATTATTAAGATTAATGATTCTTGTTACAGAGTGATTATTACTTAGCGCCAAGATCCACTTGGTCCAGGGTATCGATAGCGCGTAGAAATACTGATACATGGAAGTTTGGCAGTGCCATGTTAATTATATCTGCTATGTTAGTATTGATTGCAGTACTGGCAATTGCTGGATTAGCTTTATGGATGGGTGGTACGTTAAATTTATTATTCATTAAAAGTTGACTAATTAAACTTTATATAATCGTAGTCTCTTCATTTATAAGAAAATAAAATTAAGGAAATACAGAATTAGAATTAAAGTTCTTCAAAATATTATCCTTTTTTTCAATTTAGTTAATTATAAATTATAAATTGTATAAATTTATTATAAGAATAAACTAATTAATGTTAATTAAAATTTTCAGCTTTCCGAACAGATTCTAAAAATGGTGAGTTCCCCATATATTCAAATAATAATAATAAGTTGTGTAATATTTTCACGATTATCTTAATTACTTCCTATTATAGCTATCGTTGGATTTTCGTGTAGCTTCAGAATAGTAAGAGGCGAAAAATATAATCCTATGTTGAAATTGAACACGAGTATGGTCTTTCGAGAAAAAGAACGAAAATTTAAAAATATCGTAAGTAAATAAATATTAATTTTAAAATTGTTTTACTTACAAAAATATAAATATTAAATTTATTAAACATTCAATATTGCGTTATTTCCAGTTCGAACTTTTATTTAGGAGAAGTGTACTCGCTTCAGCCTACAAGCGAACCACAATAGATAAGTTTGAAAACGGGACTTTAAAAGTTTTCTTCAGATTATATCTCGATCGAAGGAAGATACCGCGCTCGATCACAAATATTGAAGATACCATTCAAGATATTATCGTCAAAGAAACGTATTCAATCTCATCCTTGTTCAAAGACATGGAGTTAGATCTTACGACCATATCAGTGAAAAGTGAGTAATGATTAACTGAATGAGATATTTTTAAATTTTAAATTTTAATTAAATTTTTAATTAAATTTTTTTACTCATATCAAACTTTTCTTTACTTATATATTTTGCACTCTTCTTCTTATACATTACAATAACATACTTCATTCTATTTAGTAATTTCTTTTAACGAAAATTTGTTTAGCTAAAGATCTCATTTATTCACGATTTAAATCAAAAGTCTAAAACGTTTAAATTTATCGATAAAATGTTATCAATTTGTTTTAAACATTAATCTTTTCAAAACTTTTAGGAATAAATCAGGAAGGTATTATAAATCAGAAACAAGGACAACAGAAACATACTATGATCACTAAAAATGGTCTATTACGGCCAAATAGAAACAGCAGTTTGATTGTTAATTCAAAGCCAAAAACGAAACCAATTAGGACTGACTCCAACGAGCCCAATATAGACTTCAACAATATCCCAACCATCCAGGGCACCTATAGAGCAACGAAAGTTAATGTTACCGCAGAAAATGCAACTAAAGGAACATCCGAATCGATGGAAGATAATGAAAGACAAGCCGCTACTAGGAGAACACCATTATATAAACATATCACGACGCCGTACAAAGTATCCAATTTCGAAGAATCTTCTCCAACAGACGAACCAACATTTTTCACAAAATCCGCGACAACTACGCTTAACAAAAATAAATCCACTGAAAAAGAGGAAAATAAAATGAAAACTGAGTCTTTAAGAACCACAACCGTTCGAAGCGATTTGGATATTTTTAAAGACTTTCATCACCCAGACTTCGAGAATAATTCACCGTGGAAACCAATCGTGCCGGGATATAACAATACGGAATTTAGATTTCCATCTCACGATGACGTCAGAGAAGTTATAGAATCGAGTACACGGAGAATTTTTTCAACGACGAGCGATTCTCGTGATAAGGCAAGGATACCTAACGTTGGAACCAGCACAACGGTGCCGGAGTTGTTATTAAGTTCTGTCAACTTTCGCGATGTTCCCGAGATGAATACTTTCGATACGGACAATACTGATTTTCCACGGGATAGACTCGTTCCAAGTCTGGCAGTGTCCAGACCAAACGACAACGAAAAACTGGACATCGAAGTAGCCGGACGGCTGCCCTCGGAAATGTACAATGTCAAATTAAGAGCCTCCTCGGGGCAGGACGGAGGAATTTCCAGTTCTGAGATGACTCGCAGAGTTTCCGAGAGTTTTGTTTCAACAAAAGGTAATGCCTTTCCACATAAGCGAGATCCAAACGCAACTGACAAGACAGACACAATGTTCGATGATGCAGCGTCGACAAGAGTGGAAACTGATGATACATTTAAATTGCGGGACGACGACGAAAAAATTGCAAACGATTCGCTTAGCAGCGGCATCGGCGTAGCGGAACCTGTACCAGATATGGAAGTCGAATTGGAAGCGAAGACTCGAAAAGGGAGCGAAGTTCTGGCATCGGCCACGGACAAGGAAGACACGTTGCGCAATAGGAAAGTTAACGTTAATCAGCAGCAACCGATTTATACCAGTTACAACACTCCTGATCTGAATGGCGGCAGTCTCGGATCCGGTTTGATCGAGGATTCGGCAACTATGAAACCCTTCAGACACACGATACCAGTTGACAAAATCACGTCCGTCGTAAATTACAGCGACGACGTTCCTCTTCATAACTTGGACGCTCTGTCTCTCTCGGATGGCGTGATTACTGATGTGAAATTATCCCAAGATAAAATTCTGACGCCACCAAAGGAAATCATCAGAGTGGAAACTTATGTTACAGATGACATGATAGCTGAACTGCCAAGTTACGAACGAATTACATCGACAGAGCCAAACATCGTGCAACCCGTGAAAGGTGATAATAAATTGTCGCACTTTAGCATTACCGAGAGTTATACGGAACCAAAATTAATCGCCAAAGATTCAGAAGGTAAAAAGGGCATATCGAGAAACTCGACGTTCGTCGAAATCGACATTGTCAAGCACACGCCCGGCGAGTCGGAAGAAAACTGGGAATCGCATGCGGATGAAGTGACAGACAGTAACAACGGGTTACAAAAAAAGAAGATTTATAACGAAACTCTAAAGGCCTACGTGGTGGAAAATTTCGTGACGTTGGCACCAATCAAGAGCAACGTCGGGGTCGGTAGGCCAGTACGACCGAGACCAAAAATTGACTCCCCTAATGACACTACTCTTCTGGAGGAACTATTTGGAGTACGCGATTACATGCACGACAGAGATACGACGAAGGCTGAATCTGCCATCTCTAAATCCTCCTCCTCGCACACGATTCAGAATTCTACGAAACCCAATGGGAATGAATCTTCAAATCATAACAGCACTATAGTCGAACAGATAGTCGAAGTTGTGACTTCCATCAGCACCAGAGTGTCGTCCAGCATTAAGGGCGATCCAGTTATCTTGAAGTTTATCGTCGCCAATTCTACCACTAAACCAGTCGATTATTCGGAGAAAATGTCAACGGATAACGAAGCAAATAAATCATTCGAATTGATTTCTGATACAACGGAAAAAATATTTCCGGTTCAAAAGTGGCCGTTATCAGCGGCAAATCTAAGGACTTTGCAGGCATCGGATAGAAAAATGTTGGCGCTCGAAGAGAAGGACAGAATCCTTCTAGAAAAGCTCAAGCAACTTGCCGAAATCAAAATGAATAACGATGACCCCACGGGCGTACAAATTACTAAGAATAGCACAAATTCAAGCCCCGAAATATTACAAGACTTCGCGTCATTAAATATTGAGAATTTAAAAAAAATCGCCGATGTCGTGACTGGAAATGAGACTCTAAAGAACGCCAGTTTAGGATTAACATTGAGTAGGGATGGGATAGAAATATTTACAAAAGTATTAAAAAAGAATGAAGAAGAGAACCGAACCGACGAGACACGTACAATGTCAATGAATCGAAAAATCAGCGAGACTCCTCTTAATGGTAATTGAAGCACAACGCATTCAAACATATGTAGGTAAATAGAAGAATATTCGTGCGTAGGGCTTGAGTAGCTTCTGTTTCTTCACTGCAGCCATATTGAATTATACCAGAAGCAGAAAATCGTATGAGTTTTTTTTCTCACGCTGCACGACAATTTAGTTTTTTCATACATCATTACTCACACATTCGATAGCATAAATTAGTAAATATGTTAAATTCTCTTTTCTTACGTTAGAAAATGCATGTTAGTTTAATCTGTATGTCTTACATTTTCAGAAAAATACATTTTCTAGATCATATAAAGATGATCAAGATTTACAGCTGTTTATTAATAAGAAAAGAGATTTATCAATAAGAAAAGAGATTTCTTGATATATTTTTTTTTTTCTACTATCGAATGTATGATGAAACGCTTAGCATCTGAAAATATTTACATATATATATATATTTCGACATACATATTTATATATCTAATGCAGCATCTATATTTTCACAGATAGCTGCGTCGGTTTTTTATGTAGCGATGGAAAATGCTTAGACCGTAGCGCAATTTGTAACATGTTAGTAGAATGTCCTAACGGTGCGGAAGACGAGGCTAATTGCACATGTGCTGATTTCCTCAAGACACAGCTGTTATATCAAAAGATTTGCGACGGTATCGCCGACTGTTGGGATTACTCGGACGAGAGCGATTGCGGTAATGCCACTTAATTCAAATATTATGTTACAATAACTCGTGTTCATACTTCAATTAAATTAGTTTTCTACTTAACTGAGGATAGTCACTCAAAATATTTTTTTCCACATTTTTCCTTAGCCACTTCTTATTCGTTTGACTTCATTTTATGATAGATTGGTGCGAGAAAGGACAATTCGTATGCGGTAACAGCAAATTCTGCGTTGACACAGATAAAGTATGCAACGGTATCAGTGACTGTCCCGGCGGTGAAGATGAGAAAAAATGCACCGCTTTGATAGACGACGAACTGGAAGAAGACACTGAACCGCAAATCGATCTTGCTTCAACGGAAGATCTATCAAAAAATACTTCCGAGATAGTCAAAGAATCCCATTTCGATCGAGCGGTCGAATCCTCTTTTATAGACACAACTACATTACACATTCTTCCTGATGATGTCCAATCTGAAAGGTTGATGAAGAACAATTTACCTGCGAAGTTAGTTCATCAGGAATCAACGCAGACTAAAGATGTAGATGAGAGTAAAGCCATGGTTGCTGTTTCCAGCAGAGAGGCATCTTCGAATGTTTTAAGGAATGGTTTAACTCCTGGAGATAATTTGCACGCCAGAAATAATAGAACTTTCTCAATAACGAATGATGCTCATAACAAAGAGGTAGACAATTATAACAACAAAGGATATCTCAGTATACGTAAAAATGGTGTATGGGGAAAACTTTGTCTTCCCATTGACACGAATAGTCAAGAGAAACACGTGCGTCGAGCTGTATGGTCTGTCGAGGATCTTGCTAAAGCTGCATGCAAGGCAATCACGTATCAGTAAGTAAATCTGAAATCTCGATTAAGAGAAGCTATCTATCTTATTCTCAAAAAATAAGTTTTTTTAGAAGTAGAAACTGAAAGACTTCGCTTGCAGAGATTACGAAATGGTACAAAAAGTGTTGGATCAAAACCCGCCGCCAAATCAGTTTTACTACACTTTGTCATACAACGAGAAGTCATCAGATTTTTCTGATAGGACAGCTTTATCCCTTTCTTTTTTCCAATCATCTCAGTGTCCGAGCGGCGAGGTTCTTAAAGTAAGATGCAAAAATTTCGAATGCGGGATAAGAACCCAAGTGGCATCCACAGCGAGGTACGTTTTCATGCAATTTCGTGCTATCTTATCGCGCAAAAAGAAGAAATTGAGAATACATTTATAGTCCTCCATATAAAACTTTATATTCTTTTTTCTCAACTTTATATTCTCTTTTCTTGTTGAATCGAATCGTCCTTTTTTTTTATCCCTTTTCTCCATTTTCTTTCTTCATCTCATCAATTGACTACATTTTCGATCGAAAAAGATGCAGGTACAACCAATTATTTTTAAATAAAAAAAATTCATTTTCGAGTACACGTCTTTTTTTCTTAACAATTCTTTCTAACTTCTTGTTGCTTCAGGATTGTTGGCGGTGCTAGCAGTTCCGTGGGCAATTGGCCCTGGCAGATAGCGCTGTACAGAGAAGGCAATTATCAATGCGGCGGTGCTTTAGTGCACGAGAGATGGGTTATATCTGCTGCACACTGCTTTTATCAGTAAGCCATTTGCAAGATGATAATTGTTTACACGTACATGTAGGTCTTTGGTCTAAGGATCTAAAATAAAAGATGTTATCGTCGCATAGCGCGCAGGATAACTATTGGGTCGCGAGGATCGGTGCGACTCGTAGAGGAAGTTTCCGAAGTCCGCATGAGCAGCTCTTGCGAGTGGATTACATATCATTGCATCCGGATTACATTGACAATGGATTTGTCAATGATATAGCTGTGATAAGACTCGAGCGAGCCGTTAGCTTCAGCGATTATATTCGACCGGTATGCCTCCCAAAAGCACCAGTCGCTAGTGGAACTATCTGTGTAGTGACCGGATGGGGGCAATTATATGAAATTGGCAGAATATTCCGTAAGTAAAATATATTCATTTAAGCATTCGTATTGTATAATCTTTGGTAAAATCATATTGTATACGAGATGTATTCTGTTAGCTGATACTTTGCAAGAAGTACAAATTCCGGTGATATCGACGGAAGATTGTCGACGAAAAACTCTGTTTCTACCGCTTTATAGAATTACGTCTGGCATGCTCTGTGCAGGATTGGAAAAAGGTGATTGAAAAAAATTTTTAATTAGAAAGGATTTTAATTCAGAAGAGAAACGAACGGTTCGGTCGAATTGGAAAATTACAATAAGTATTGCTGTATTCTTCAATCGGAGTAAAAATTAATATTATTTTATCTAGGTGGAAAGGATGCTTGTCTTGGAGACAGTGGAGGGCCTTTGGTTTGCTTGTCTCCTTTTGAAAATCGTTATGTCTTACAAGGTATGTATGTATA